GCTCGCGCAATATTCAGCGAACTGCGGCGGGAAGTCCGGTCGGAGAATCGGCCCCGGCGGGTTGAGATATTTAAAGGTCATCGCGGCGCACGGCAGGCAGTGTACCTTCGTCTGTGTCCCCGTGCACTTCCCATCGGCTGCCGAGGAGACCGCTGTGTTCAGAAGTTAGTACATATGCAGGATTTACACTAAGAGGAGAAAATATATACATATTTTCTGTAGTTTTGGAAGAAGCGTTTTGTTTGGTAGTTATTCGGTATTATTATATTATATGTATTCTTAGTTGTTATGTATAGCGTTATGTGTTTCTGCAGTGAGTGTGAATCTTGCGATGCTGGTCCTTGTGGGGGTGTGCTCTGCCCTCCCCGCTAAACTACCCCACGGCACACCAGGGGACGTTGCAACTGGGTACGCCACACCAGGACATGCCACAGCAGGGCATGGCGCACCAGGTCACGGCATCCCTGCCGGGCATAACTTCTCCTTCCAGTCGAGCTCATCCTCGTCCAGCTCTGGTTCATCATCAAGCCAGAACTCATCTTCGGCTAGTTTTTCATCGTCGTCTTCTGGGTTTAACTTCGACAGCTCTTCGTCCAACTCGGACTCTTCTTCTTCAGATAGCTCCTCTTCGTCCTCATTCTCAGGGTATGTTACATTATGCTACACACACAAATGAATTTTCGTACTTTTTAACAATTTGTCGTCATAATTACAGCAGTAATATTTGGAACTTTCTTAATGTTTGCTAGTTCTCAAATTCCTCATAAATAATTTGTTCCTCTCTGTCCTTTTTAGATCTGGATTTGGCAACTTCCAAGGAGCAGGAGGCTTCTTTGGCAATGGAGGACTGCCCAAAGTTGAAGGAGTCTCAAGCCAAGGAGGCTTCCACGCTCTCAACAACTTCCTTGGTTCTAACGGATTCAACGCCATTTCTGGGTTGTTTGGCGGCAACAGAGGAACTCACGGCCATGGCTCCTCTGCTGGGTCGCAGGCATCATTCGCTGGGGCAGCAGCACATGCAGGTGGATCAGCTGCCGGCTCTCAGGCAGGCGTCCATGGAGTAAATGGAGGCAGCACGAGTGGTGTTCACACAGTTGCTGGGTCATCTGCTGGCACTCAAGGATCAACGGGTGTGGCTCTTGGATCTTCTAACTTCCAGTCTGGAACACAAGGCTCAAATTCAGGAGCCCAAGCATCCTCTGCTGGAGTCCAGTTTGGCACTCATGGGTCCACTGCCGCAACCCAAGGAGTTTCAGGTATCACGCACACTGGAACACAAGGATCAGCTGTTGGAGTCCAAGGGTCTGTGACTGCTGGCCAGTCTCAAGGATTAGCTACTGGAACCTTGGAATTATCCGGTGAATCCCAGGTTGGAACCCAAGGCTATTCAGCTGGATCTTCAGTCCATTCCCAGTCTGGAGAGGCAAGTGCTCAGGGATCTTCTAATACCCAATCTGGAACACAGGGCTCTGCTGCCGGAGGATTTGGATTGTCTGCAGGAGTACAAGGCTCTGCTGGAAATCAAGGATCCTCTGTTGGTGTTCATTCAAACACAGAAGGATTGACTATTGGCAGCCAAGGCTTTACTGGTGAAACCCAAACTGGAACCCAGGAACTTTCCGGTGAATCCCAGTTTGGAACCCAAGGACTTTCTGGTGAATCCCAGTTTGGAACCCAGGGATATTCAGCTGGATCTTCCATCGATTCGCAGGCTGGCACTGTAGGAGCAAGTACTGGAACTCAGGGGTCTTCCTTAGGTCTTCAGGGAACGGAAGGATCAGATTTTGGAATCCAAGGATCCTCAACTGGAACACAAGGATTTACTGGAACTCAACACTCTGCCACTGGTTTCCAATCAAATGCGCAAGGATCAAGTTTTGGAACCCAAGGATTTTCCGGTGAAACCCAGGTCGGAACCCAAGGATTTTCCGGTGAAACCCAAGTCGGAACCCAAGGATTTTCCGGTGAAACCCAGGTCGGAACCCAAGGATTTTCCGGTGAAACCCAGGTCGGAACCCAAGAATTTTCTGGTGAAACCCAGGTCGGAACCCAAGGATTTTCCGGTGAAACCCAGGTCGGAACCCAAGGATTTTCCGGTGAAACCCAGGTCGGAACCCAAGGATTTTCCGGTGAAACCCAGGTCGGAACCCAAGGATTTTCCGGTGAAACCCAGGTCGGAGCCCAAGGATCTTCCGGCGTATTCCAGGTCGGAACCCACGGAATTTCTGGCGAATCCCAAGTTGGAACTCACGGATATTCAGCCGGGTCTTCGGATAATTCCCAGTCTGGCGCTGGAGAGGCAAGTGGCGCCACTGAGGGATCTTCATTCAACACTCATATTGGTATTCAGGGATCAACTGCTGGGGCTCAAGGATCATCCGCTGGAGCACAGGCGTCTGCCACGGGTTTCCAGTCAGATGCTGGAGCCCAAGGATTTTCTGGAGAGTCCCATTTCGGAAGCCAAGGATCATCAGGCGTATCTGAAGTTGGAAGCCAAGGA